TACAGATTCATGAATTTACAGACCCACAATACACAGCCTAGTTTTATATGCTTTTAGTTTGATTATCAGTAGAGCTCTCCAATTTTTTTAAACTGGTTGAAGAGCGAAAAATAAACCATATTTAGTACTCGGGGCAGTTGATGAAAATTTCACTGGTCCAAACTGAAATTTATCATTAGTACATTTTTAACTATTACCAATGTAAATATTTAAGTGATTTTATACAATTAAAGTGCAGGAAAATGCAAAAGAAAACTCAATGTGTGAACCAGAGGATGAGTACCAAACTGAGTTATATTTTTCGTCTTATCGTACTTGAATGGACAAATATTAGTAAGCCTAGTAGTTTTTACAGGGGTATCAAAATTTGAGTCGAGAATTGTGAAATTGTACATTTTTTTGTGTTGCAACAACCCTAATTATTAGAATGCAAGGTTACATATGTCAAAAACAATGTAAAATTGTTATAACTACAAATATTAACATAACTATTTGTTATTTTTTATTGATAATTTGAATGAATGAATGAAAAACCTTAGTGTTGAGAAATGTTTACTGATTAACTACATACTTTGACCTAATTCAGTCAGTGAAAACTTTAATGAATATGCCATTGTCGCTCTAAAGTTTACTTTGGAAAACAAGAAGCAAGCATACTTGTCATTAAAAAATGACCTGCACACAGCTTAATTAACTTTCAACAAGCTACATTGTGACTCATTAGAACTGATGTAATGATGTAGCTGCTTGAGTGTCGCCTAGCCTTATATAAGGTCTTTGTGGTAGTCATTCCAAAGTGTCCTTGTAAACAGCTGTTTGGTAATAATGCAGGCAGCAGGCAGCTATAGTTAACCACATCTTTCCAAGAAGACACGTGTGATTGGGGTTACACAAGGACAGGTGTGGAGACCTCCAGATTAGATTGTGTAAGTGTCTCATCCTTCTGCTAAACCTAAATTCAGCATGTTTTGTTTACTCCATGAATTATTGCAATGCACAATCGAGTATTTGAGACCTTTCAAGCCCTCAGTTCTAAAAGAAATTCAGATAGGTGAGCGAATGAATACAGTAACATCAGGAAGTGTTTCTTGAAGTTTCTGGGATCTCCAACTCAAGATGTGTGTGCAAAGTGAACAAAGGCCAAACCTTTATCCTGGTACCCACTTTACAACAGAACGCAACAAGCATATCCAGCCACAACTGGTTTCAACCAGACCTTTCTCTCTCTCTGGCCAGGAAAAACGCAATCAATCAATTACTTATCTACACTCCTACTTGTCCACCGACTTTAGGTGCACAGATGGGCACCAGAGAAGGTGAAAGTGGCAGGGCCAGGTTAGCAGCTGGAAAGCCCCTCAAGGGAAATCACAACTGTGTTATCTCAAAGCTCATATGCAGAGATTTCACTTGCTTTGTGTGGGTCAGACCCATTTCGGGAAAGGGAGGCTTTTCTCAAGTTACAGACTGATAAAATCAAAGGCATACAGAGAATGATATATGACAGTGCAGTGTATGAGGTCCCTGCCTATGATATTCCGCCTGCACTAGACAATTATGTAATGCAGTAAAAACTAAATTTGCATGCCAAACACTTGTAATAGTTGAAAGTTTGCCACAAATGAAACCGCACTCGCTTTGACTGCAATTACATTCTTACAGAATTATATAAATAACCTAAAGTTGCACTACACCCGTAGTATTCAGGTGACAACCGGCTCCATCCAGAATAAAATTACTTTTATGAGGCTACAAATATGATAGCATTCTTCATATAATGTGAATGTACACAACTTTAAACATAATACTATTAAATTAATTTAAAGAAAAAAAGCAATCACAAAAAACTTGCAATAAAACTGTAGTTTAAAACAAGCACATCCTCAGCATATTCTAATTCCATGACTGTCCATGACTGATGTTTCTCATCTACTGAGCCACTCAACAAACTCAAGTTGAACTTGGAAAGATAATATTAACGAAAGCTTTGGCTTGATGGACTATGCGTGTGGCACCCTGCCAAAAATAGTCTCTAAATACATAAAAATGCACCCGAGGACAGCCTTCGTGCGTCATCACTTCCTACCCTCCTACTGCAACAGCCAATCCCATTTCAACTGCCAACGCTTTCAGGCTCTTGTTGAGCGAGTCTTGATATCAGACACATCACCAAAACTCCTCGCCTACACTATCTCTTCTATAGCCAGAGGTGCGAAGTTCAACAATGACCCGGGTGGCCCTACAGCATGTATTTAAAAGAAAGACAGTGTTTCCACTCACACAGATAAACGCAAAGCATCTTTTATTTCAGTTGTTACAGAATCAATTTAAGGTGGGTACACATTTACCCTTAATAGTAGGTGTTAAAATGAGAATCCATATCTTATCTAGTATCAGAAACTAAGATTATTTGTGTGTCCAACTACTGTTAGGTCACTTCCTGATTACATCAGTGCTGCATGCTAACCATTATTCCAGCATCTCTAGTACCAAAATAGATCTAACAATTACACGTCTCTAGGTTCTCATTTGGATCAAGCTGTGGAACATTTACTGTCTTAGCCAGGAAAAATAGATTAAATACAAGACAGACAAGCAAGAAATTTGACATTCTACCTCCCGATATTTAAAAATGCATCATCTGACAAATCAAAGCAGATGTTGAAAGACAACATCTTAAAGACTGCAAACAGTTATTACTTTTCATTCAACCTGCACAATTTAAATGGAACAAATCACAACATGCAAATGAAAATAGCTAAATATGCAAATTACCTTACATCAAGCAAAACATTTTGGGAAATGACTGCCAAAAAAGCCAAAAAAGTATGAGTACAATTAGAGGTCAGCTTTGAGAAAAAGACTAGGGAGATGAATATGCTGAAAAATAAAGAATTTTTAATTTAAATAAATGTACTTATATTATTACCCAACTCTTTATATAAAGTTGGATTGGATATATAAGTATGTCCATGTATATTGCAATTATGTAATTTTATTGCCCAGCTGCTCAATGTAACTATAAGGCATGAACATATTGAGATATTAACATCATGATTTTCTGTAAAGCTGCTCTGAAATGTGTTTTGTGAAAAGTGCTATAAAAATAAATGTTGTCTTTTTTGATAGTTTGTTGTATGTCAATGCATATGCAAGTTTATGTGCTTGATACATTAGAGGCAGATTAAGGTATTTGGAGCACCTCTTGAAGGAGTAGGTCAGTTTTAATAGCCAGCAAACACCCCCTCCTCGCCTCCACATATCTGACTTCAAGCTCAACTACCCGGCATAAGCTGCAACATAAGTGGACAACTGCCAACTTCAGGCTATATTTACTCTTTTAAAATCAATTTAAGAGCAAAGCACAGCCAGAAATAACAATTCAGTCAGCATTTACTCATCCTCATGTTGTTCCAAACCCATATGGCATTTTTGCTTTTGTGGAACGCAAAAGGAGAGATTAAGCATAAGGACAGTTTCAGTCACCATTCACTTTCATTGCAAAAAGATCCACTGAAAGTGAATGGTAACTGAGTGATTGAGTGACTGAATGGTGACTGACTGATTCTGCCTAACATTTTCCTAAAGAAATATAGGTTTCCTGTATTCTTAGTTGAAATGACCACATACTAGCAGGGAATTTGATTTAAATTTTATGAATTAATGCAAACTAAAACACATGCAATAAGTGCTTCATTCATTGTCTCATGCATAAGTCTGAATTGTGCATGTGTTACAGCAAGACATTATCTAACATACATGACTCTACTCGTGACAATTACTGCCTAACATTTTCCTAAAGAAATATAGGTTTCCTGTATTCTTAGTTGAAATGACCACATACTAGCAGGGAATTTGATTTAAATTTTATGAATTAATGCAAACTAAAACACATGCAATAAGTGCTTCATTCATTGTCTCATAAGTTTGAACTATGCATCAGAGGCATGCGTTACAGAAAGACATTATCTAACATACATGACTCTACTCGTGACAATTATATATACAGCCTGCAATGACATATAATTACCACATCCAGACCCATAGGTTACAGTAAATGAAGTTGAGATTCATTCATTTTAGCGAGGGAAATGTATGGCAAGCTATATAAACATTTATTATTTTATTAACAGTATCTACTTTTATGTTACCAGTATAGCTTTTTTTTTATTACTAGTAAGTAATTTAGTGTAACTTTTACATTTGAACTATTCCATAATACAATATACAATAACACTTATTCATTAGAAACTATTTCTGATTCCTTATAAAACTAAACAAATATTTCTTAGTTACTAAAATAAGTCCTAGCATATATTCCAGTTATCCTATAACAAACTGAATAATAACACTTATTTATTAAACTATAGAATCTATTCCAGTTGTTACTAATAACATTTTTAAATAAGTGACTGAATCCATAATAGTTAGTATTCAAAGTGACAGTAATGTATAGCTGCTAGTGAAATTGGGAAAGTTATTAGTATTGAATTTATTACTAGACGTGTAAAAATAAGTACTAGTTATAAAAAAAAGATACTAGTTTTAAGGAATAAATGTTAAAATGGCTTGCCACGACAATGAGGCTATTAGGCTGGCTCATAACTACAAGTTCTTGCCTCATACTTTTAGTCTAAAATATTGCAGTCTCAGTAATTAGGGTGCATTTAAATTTTAAAAGTTATATGACTTTTTTTGGTTGAGGTAAACAAGGAGGGCAAAACTGTAGTGATATATAGGGCTTTGCTCTGGAGCACTGACCAGAGATGACCTAATCGCTGACACAGTTATGCAACGCCTAAGTTTAATACATATAAAATAAACATCTTTGACATATATATGACCGAGTCGATGTGTTTTACATATGCGACCGTGCATCTTTATGGACATCACTTTCTGTTCACGACACAAATTTGTTTTTGAGCACTGGTCACAATGCAGTCAATGGAAAGTGTTATACAACAGCTCAACCGCCGACTCTTTAAAACATGAATGTATCCTACCTGACAACTTAAACAGTCTTGCTTTTCGTACAAGATGCACGCCTCAAAGCAGGTCTCCGTCCTGTCCGGCTAAGTAAAATATATTCCTGAAATTCCAGTCAAGCCGCAGCGTCAGTTTTGACACACTTCAGCGCCGAATGCTCTCTCACACCACTGCCCTGGATCTCTAGAGCTCGCAGCATGACCTGTTCAAACTCCTCCCACCGCGCGCTCCTATTGGTCAAACCCCGCTTATTTGCATGCGGAAAATACGGAAATACCAGAAGCGCGCTGTGATTGGCTGAAAGGACCGCCAGTCTCTTTACATAAGTATGTCATACGTCTCACGTGGACTGCTGCGTCTGGGCAAATCAGTAGTAAGAGAAAGCTGATGAATGGGACGCTGACAAGGGAAAACTGCGTGGTTGGTTGGTTCAGGAAAGCCGAGTACGTTGAAGTGTTATACAAACGGTTATACAAGTGTGTGTACAGTCAATGTGGTCTCGCCCTGCGCGAAACACGGCATGTGATGCTATTAGAATAGCTTGGAATATACATGCGTGATTGCTCGAAATCATTCAGTACGAATTTTAGATACATTCGTGCATTTAGAATATATATTTATAACAATTTCGTATTCATTTCAGGCACATCTGTCATTTCATAACATAGCATCTCACATAACATAATACGTAACATCTCATACAGATGCTATTGCACAACATCTCATCTACATGCACAACATCTCATCTACATGAAAATATATAGGCTATATAAGGCTTTACCTATATGTTTCAGAAAGCACTTTGGATGAGTTTATTAGTGCACACAATAATAAAACAGTGTGCTTGGGGAAACACTCTCTTGTTGGACTCTCTCCATCTCCATCTGATAGAAGATCCTGCCTTTTGCCAATATTATAATTGTGCTTTCCCTTGTTTGCATGCATTTATTTTTACTTCAAAAGAGAGCACACAGCACACAGGCAATGTTCTGGTTTGAGCTGCTAAAACAGGCATTTGCGTGATGGGTAAACACGATTTATTCTCTAGTGAATTGTGTTGATTGCCGTGATAATGAGTTCCAATCATACATAGTTATATTAGTTCCATCTACCATTTTAGCAATATCACATGAGCAAGAGTGCTGTTGTACTGAATATGGCACAAGGCTGTATGAAATCAAATGTAATAAAAAAATCTCAAAGAAGACGGATAAGAAGTTTTCTAAGATCTCTTTCTCACTTCTTCTCCTCTCTCAAACACACAGAGCTCTTAAAAAAAATCAAATAAAAAAAAACTCTCAATAACACCAGATGGCCCAGATGGCGTCTCTACAAGGATCCACAAGACTGTCAAATCATACCAGACCATTTCGAAGAACTCTCACAGATACAGAAACACTTTCTTTCTGTGTTAAAAGCGCTATATAAATAAAGGTGACTTGACTTGACTTGACTGTCTGTCACACTTGTTTCTGAGAATATTAAGCAAAAACATATCCATTATAAATCCTCAATTGCTCTCTATTCACAAGGCAGGTATTTTATTATACAAGCAAATGCAGATGAATTATTAACAGCTGATCATTAGTGTGATGTCTACATACTGCTAGCAGTTTCTGAGCACTAATGAACCCTAAAGACCATTGTATTAATATTTTAAAGGATTTGATCCAGTTAGCACAAAGAGAACATTGTGTTCTCCGGTGAAATTAAGTATGAAATTAAAATATTGAAAAATGAAATGTGTGATACTACAATGAGGCCTGATAGTGAGTACATAAATGGATTATATGACAGAATCAGAGACAGAAAAAACGGGCTGAATGAGGATGCAAACCAAAAAACTCGCTCTAAATGTTCAATCAATCCAATAGGGACATGTGGGTGTTTGTTGTCCCAACGGAAGCAATTTATGCCTGAAAAAAGCCGTGAGTCAGTGAATTAAGTGGGACTCACTCTAATAGTTCCACTTTTATCTTTTATCAGATCCTCACCAGATAAAGGCTGTTTTGCTGTGTTTGTGTGTGCTTGTCATTGATTCTTTTGGGTTTCGTGAAATGCTGTGAAAGTGACGCACATATAATATAACCGAAGGCCAAAACAATCCTATAACAAGGCTCTTGAATGACCCATTTTTGGGTTTTTCAACACAGAATGATTTTCTGCAAAAAAAAGTACATTCATTGTTGTATTATGGGTTAACTTTTTTTTTTTTGTTGTTGCAATGAATGACATTTCAGCGTGCTACGTCCACACCAAGAACGATCACTATAATGAGATAAAGTTTTAACAATCGGTCTAATTCTATGATAATAGGGAAGTTCACACCACAACTATAACAATAATGTCACAGAGGAACAATATCATTGGAATTACTTTCAGAATGAGGATGGGGAAGTCATGGCCTAATGGTTAAAGAGTCGGACTTGTAACCTAAAGGTTGCGGGTTCGAGTCTCGTACTGGCAGGGATTGTTGGTGGGGGGAGTGAATGTACAGCGCTCTCTTCCACCTTCCATACCACGACTGAGGTGCCCTTGAGCAAGGCACTGAACCCTCAACTGCTCCAACTGTGGAAACTTATAGTTATCTTTATAGTTACCGTTTGTGGTGTGAATGGGCCTTTATAAATGATGAAATCAAATGAAATCATATTTCTGTCACTCTATCTTCTGTCACACTATCATTTCTGTCACTTGTACCTCACTCTAAAAAAAAAAGGTACAAAAGCTGTCACTAGGGCAGTGCCTTTTCAAAAGGTACAAATATGTAGCATTTAGGTACCAATATGTACATTTAAGGTACTTATATGCAACCTTTAGGGGTAATTAAGATACAAACCTTTTGAAAAGATACTGTTCCAGTGTTCCAGTGACAGCATCAACTTTTAGTTTTCTAAGGTTAAAAATCCTTAATTGAGAAGGGAATCACATAATGCATTACAACATCCTTAGGGGAAAAAATCCATCCAAGATGCAGCAAAAAAAATATTATATTTATACATTCAGTAGGCCTATTGAAAAGCATAAAATAGGCCAATTACACTAAAAATGGACCTTAAGCATAAAAATATAGAACAAATATTATAGTAATGCATCATTAGCAAAATAATCTAAAACCAAACTGATTCAGAGTCAAGGCTTTTTAATGCCTGACAGTTTATTCAAATGCTCATAATGATTCAAACACATTTGGATGTAACAGTCTGTGGCTCCTTTAAACTGTCTGTGAGTCCTTTGGTTTTCCTATATAATTTTATGGCCTTTTAAATTGTCCATTAAATGTGAATTATTCCACTTTGATATTTTTATTTCCTACTTTGCCCTCAAACTCACACTCAAATCCTTTTCTCACTTTCATAACTGAGTGAAAAGGTTAGCTGCTTGCTATATTTGTAATGCCATCTGTTTGGCCTAATCTGATCAAAATGTAAGTTGCAATATTGAGTTCCATTCTTGTGACATAAACTCTAACATGACCTCTCATCTCTTCCTCATTAAATAATAACAATATAAAATAATGATGAAACATTTTATACTCGTATGTGGTTTTTACAAGGCATGCTTCTTTTGTCTGTCTATTGTAAAAAATGGGTAATTAATGAAGTTTATTAAAAGTTAACAATACCTATTTCATGTATTACAGAGCTTCCCGTTTCTTTGGCCTTAAATACAGAAGCTAATTTCCCATTTAAAAGAACACACTGTTCTAAGGATGTAATTTAATTGAGGAAAGTGAAATTACATCTCAGATTCTCCTGCACTTTATGATAACACTTTAAAAAGCTATTAAACTTAGTTTCATTGCACATTTAGCACATTTTGAAGTCTCCTGTAGAAAGTAGCTCTTACTGCTTGGCGTCTTCACCCAGATTTTCCACTGTCTGCTACATCTATCTGGAAAAGAAAAAGGGGAGTTGTCTTGTGGATCATGTTCTGAGCATTACATCACCAACCACATATATAACCCAGCAGCAGACATGAGCCGGACGGAAAAGGTTCTGGCATGTTGCCCGGTGAAAGCGTGCTGTCTACCATGAACCCTTCCCTCAAACTTCCACCCCTCCTCTCTCTTTTCCTCTTACTGTGGAATTTAGTATGAGTTAAGCAGACAGCAGTGCCTGTACTGCCATACGTGAGCCAATTGTATCGTAAGGGGAAAAGTATTTTGTTTGCATGTGGAGCAACGTCATAGAGCTCCATGACAGAGCATTTTATGTATGGGATTACAAAATGAAGCACGTTTTTATCCTGCCAGCATTTTTGCCAAAAAATAATCCAGGAATAAAAATCACCTTCACTTGATTATTTAATTAGCAATTTTTTAAAAAGATTATTTAATCAGATATTAGATATAAAAAACACCATTCCATACATACTACACCATATATGCATCAAAGTCGATTGCAATTGCAAACAAATGTGTATATTTGTATATATGTAAATAATTTTACATATTAAATGCCATTAATCAATGACTAAAAGTCAAATGTTTTATATTGTACTACTACTTTCTACTTTCTTTTTCAAGCAATTATGTCATTCACTATGCCTCAAAAAGAATGTAATTACACAAAATTTTACACAAAAAGTAAAAAAAACCTTTAACAAAGTACACAAAGTTTTTAAACAAACAAATAAACAAATAAGTTAGTTTAGTTTTTCTTGTGAGAATTTAAATGATTAAATTCACTAAAATGACTATTCAATGATCAATGATTATATATACTGTATATTTATATATATACACATATTTTTTCAGCAATGATTAAATTCACAAGCATTTGCAGGGTTTTAGCTACACCTTATATTCTTATAACCTTTAATCAATGGCTCATAAGTTTTGTATTGTGTTGAACATTATTAAATCATTCACAATGCTTCATAAAAGTTCATTGTTCAAATTCAAGTTTATATATATATATATATATA